AATAGAATCAATGAGAGGGGGCAAGGTTTGACTGAACTCCTTATGTCGTTATGTGCGAGTTCGACAAAGTATGTGAGGAAAGGAGGCCCTGAGCTTTGGTAGTGCTTTAGTACGGTATCGCGGGATAGTACAGTCGGGTAAGCCAAGAAACTCATTAGCTACATTTGAGAACTAAAATAGCTACACCAGCCAAACGAGCTATTCAGTGATAAAATAATCCGATAGTCAGTCGGTAAAACAATTGAATTAGCTACACCAGCCAAACGAGCTATTCAGTGATAAAATATCCGATAGTCAGTCGGTAGAACAACTGAAATAGCTACACCAGCCAAACGAGCTATTCGGTGTAAGGAATGACGCCATGAGCGGGTGGCGAGCGCATGACGGAAGTGATAAAATAATATAACTGAAAGGCTATCGGGTAACAGGGTAAACCGGGCAAGCCCGTAAAATATATTCTTTTATCTACAGAAATATGTTTGCAATTAAGCGTGTAAATATTGGGTGGGTTGGGAGGGAATTTCGTTTAAGTCGGAGAGGGTTTAGTGGAGAGATTTGTAGGGAGGTCTGGCGTACACGACCTGTCCGGACCGCGTGTTAGCTCAGAGTGACACCACGCGGCACGGGAGTGACAAACACAACCATTTAATTGCGTACTGAACTTGGACTTGAGCGTAAACTGACCGCGTGTTAGCTCAGAGTGACACGACGCGGTACGGAAGTGACACCACGCGGTACGGTCTAATTAGAAACAGCCTCTTGTGAAGAGGATCTCAAACAGATCACTCTGTTGTCATGGCAGCAGGCGAGACAGGCCACCCTGGTAGATTGGCTTCCTGCTTTCCCAGCAAAAACTCCTTTTTGCTATGTGCAAAATGTCTTTTTGCTTCTAAACCAGGAGCTACGAGTGGTAGTCTGAAGTCAGTCCAGAGTCAACCATCAACCGTAGACAATACGAGCTTGGCAGTAACATGCAAACTTTATTCCGGAACTCCGGTACAAGACAAACTGATCCCACAGAAATAGGCATGTGGGTAAGAGATAATTTAGAATTTACATATCACATGTGGAAAGTCGAAATGAGCAGGATATATAGCAAAATAATGATACAACTCATCAAAGGGTAAATTACGCCCTAAAACTCATCCAATGGTTAACACGAGTTCATAGACAGAAATACGCCTAATCACGTTTCAACTGGCTTAGGAGCGTCCCACGAACAGACTTGTAATATTGTAGGTTGCCAAAATCAGAGAGGTGCAGTCCGTCAGGGGCGAAATAATTTGGGTTCTTCCGCGAGAGGCGCTTGTGTCGCCATACAGAAACCGCCGGCAAATGTTCGGCGGCAGACGAGAGATGCTGGCGGAAATCAGCCAAACGTTCCGGGAAGTTGGGCATGTTGGGCCAAATGTGTAGCACCAAATGGGTTCTGCTAGGATGATAGATTTTACAGCTGGGAAGCATTGAATAGAGAATGCAAGGTCCGCCATCTTTTGGGCAATTTGGTGAGGGGAGAGGTCCGCATGACACAAGTCGTTGTGACCCAGTTCAATATACACAATGTCAGAAGGGAAGTCTCTAATGTACGGGAGTAGCCGAGATCTGTATCGCGGGATTGTGCAACCAGGGATGCCGTGGAAGTCAACAGTTACTTCTGACAACCAGAAATCAGGGGCCACCGCTCGACCGGACTGTTTAGTAGTACGGGTCCGTATAAAGGACTCTAGTCGGCAAACGAAAGAGTGACCCGTGATGAAGGCGCTGTTAATGCTGACAAATAAGTATTACTAGTAGATGACAGACTCACCGCAAGCAAGGACGCAAAAGGTCGGTGAACTCCTGGCCGGAGGCTCTGCACGGGCCGCAGCGTTCTGTCCGGTACGCTCCGGTACGATCAGCCGCAGCAGTTGCGACGCGACTTGGGAAAGGTCCTCCGGAGGGTAGAGCACGGCGTTCGCAGTTCGTGGACGCAGCGGTGAGGGCTCCACGTGGCGCGGCGGGGGCACGGTGTCTCAGTCCGGAGATTCAGACTTGGGAAAGGTCTTTTGCGGCGGAGGGTAGAGCACGGCGCTCGCTGTTCGTGGAAGCAGCGGCGAGAGGGCTCCACGTGGGGCGGCGGGCGCACGGTGTCTCAGTCCGAAGATTCAGAGCGAAGATGAGAAAATTTTGAGAAGAAATATCCAGAGTGTGATCAGACGAGGGAGCTTTCGTGTGATCTACTACGTGTGATCTGGATGGAATGAATGATTCCCACTGCCCGTATTTGTTTGTTTGTGAGGCCATGTCATCTCAGCCAATCAGAGTGCGTTACCTTATCGAGGATGAGTCCCCATATGTGTTAGATTTTGGTCGGTCACGAGCTGCGTGCACAAGTTATGCCAATCTGGATTGAATTTTGATCTGGGCCACGCACCGCTGAAAACCACATTTATATGCAAAATAGCCTTGGACAATTTTGATAAAAAAGTGATAATACGTAAACATGGATTACTCTAAAGATCAATTATGCTGTTTTCAGCTGCGCGTAAAGCCGTTTAAGTCATACTCCGTGAATAAAATGCATAACAACGCGGGTTTACAGAGGAAACATACAGATGACTGGCGGTAACCCCGAATTCGAACACGCGTTCTATTCGAATGACGTCATATCGAACATGGTGGAACATGATTCGGGTTCGAAACATGTCTGTGGCCATCGTGCAGACACACGCCCGAACTCGAACATGAATATCAGCCTAGGCCGCCTTAACCAAACCGAGTATTTTTTTTATTTTATAGGCGTAGTTACTTCTAATAATCATGGTTGATTCTTCAAACAGATGCTAAACTGGAAGATTGTGCAGTTTTAGTAGTGGTAAATAGCTGTTTTAAAAGTTAATTATACAATTTCATTGAACTATCGGTCATTATCTGTCTGTGTGTGTGTCTGTGTGTGTGTTTGTGTTTCCGCACATTTGTAGTCAGCATAACTTCATAACGCCTTTATGGATTGTGATGATATTTGGTATGCTGGTAGGTCTTTGGAAGCCGAAAGTCAAGGTCAAATACGGGCCTCCTTGTGGATGATCTTGGTACTGCAGCAGAACTTCCGGTTTTTGTATCTTTTGTCCTAAACATGCTATGGTCTTGAATTTTTGGTGACAGATACCTTTCCCTGTTAGGAATAAGTGGTGTGGGTTTCGTCCCCCTAGCAGCTTGTTTTGGAACTGCAGAGGACCTTCGGGCGAAATCTTTTAAAGCCAATAAGTCCAGTTAGGAACAACGTATTTTCATCATTTTTTGGTAGGTAGGTAGCTGAGAGAGATATGTACATAATTAAATGCAAATTATGCAAATGAGGACTTTATTTGCATAATTAATGAGGGAATTCTATAAATACAGTGTTTTACATTATAGTACTTTCATACATGAAACCTATGGCAGATGGAACATCAACAGAAACTATTTATGCAAATGATTGCCTAACTTGCATAATCAATGCGAAAATTCAATGATTTCTTAATGGTGAATGATGGGAATGTCATACTAGGGACATCTGTAAGTTAATCAAAAGTTGACATCACGATACATATATTATGTTAATCCAGAGGTCATTTGCGTAAACATTAAAGAAGAAATTTACATTCACATATCAAGCCCATATTTCATGGAAGTATGAGATCTCGGAACTCTTGTTAGCCATTGCACTCAATACTGAAAGTTACAAGTTATCTTTTAATAACTTTTCTTTCAGTATTGAGTGGGAACCAAAAGTCGCATTTAGTATCTGTGCTTCCTCTTACTGTTTATCATTGTTATATCATTTTCAATATACTTGGAATTAACCACGAATTTGCAAACAAAGCTTTTGATTTGTGTACTATTTTGATATATTAACTACATTGATACATTTTAAGTATTGTATCTCGACTTAAAAACTGATTAAAATTTTGTCAAACGAAGTATGTGTGCGCCAAGGGAAACGTGTTGAGCTTCATTGCTCTATTAGTAAATAAAAATTTTCTGGCAGTGACTGTGATGCCTTGCTTCAACATCTCCTGACTAATAGCCACAGAAGGCTGGTTTTTCACATCAACATTATTATTGCACGTTTCTAGCATTTTTTAATTATGAATAAAAGGTGTAGTGTGACACTATTGCGTGGCATTATATTTCTGTACAGTTTTAAATTTCCATATTGCCAAAACTTCGACAGCATTTCTTTCTTGCTAGCTACTATACAGAACGATTTCAGTCCTCTTGGCCCTCTAATTTTCATATGTAGCTTTGTTATAATCATATGTAGGGTGATTTCGCTGTACATAAATGTACAAGCTAGGCATTTCAATCGTGGAGTAATCGTGCATGCAGACAATAACTGACCAATGTTCTGAGAAAAGACAACTTCGGCACAGTCATAAGTCCATATTTATTTATCTTTTTGATTTCTCCACACATACTTTATGTGGCTGGAGTGAGAGGATAGGTGGTATTGCCTATACTAGCTTTCTCCTCAGAAACATGTGCATCATTAAAATCAATGAACAGTATGCATTATTAGCACTAAGCATATTATAAACTACAATTAATCATGTTTAAAGTTAAAACTTCTGATCCAACACAAAGAAGTTCTCTCACCCAGGTCTTTCTCAGTAGGCTGACCCAATGAGACTTGTCACGTGGGTTGGATCAAAAGTTTTAACTTTAAACATGTTTAATTGTAGTTGATAATGATGTTTTATGTTGATAATGCATACTGTTCATTGGTTTTAATGATGAACTTTTATAATAGCACAATTAAACATATTACACTCCAAGGGACAACAGACACATGTACAGTTCTATTGATACCACCAGCACTCATGAGCTTAGTCCTGCCTGGTCTAACCGTGAGCAACCAAAATTGGTAGGGCATTAAAGACATCCAATGTAATTTTAGGGCGGCAAAACTGGAAATATTCTAACAAAGGTAATCTATATGATTAAAACATACTACCCGACATTAGCACATTTGAATCAATCAGCTTTTTAATACTTTCGGACATCAAAACTGCAGAAACAAGACCCAAGGTGTGTCCTTTGTCAGTCTTGAACGAAAGACAACGCCTTTGTCCAAGATGTGTGACATCACACGAACCTTTAGCTTCTTGTCACACTTACGGACTAACAACATTTTTTAGCTCAACACACGACACTGGTGGGCGGTACCGACTCCTGATGACCTTTGACCATCAACATCATTTCTACTTTCCATTCCCCTCATTGGTTGGCTGACACAAGTATTCATTTTTCTGAACATTTTGTATCTGTACAGCCGATATAACCGCCCTTCGGCGTAACACACCAGCTCATTGTCCCTGTAGGGTACTACAAGCCTGGTTAAGCTAAGGTCCCAATTACGCCGGTGCCCGTCGGGGATGTAGCCCCGGCTGGCCCCGGCCGGGTTCAGGAGTCGGGCGGGCATCGGCTGTCGTGGTCACGATGAAAAGTTTCCTTCAGTAGCATTTTGTTAGAAATTTTGTCACCCTCTTTGGTCGGTATCCGGCAGGCACCCGGCAGGTACCCAGCAGATTCTCTGACGATGGCTTGTACTGATCTATACGTAATGCAGAATTCACGTATTTGTTGTGATCATTTGATCTGTGAGGTCACACATTTTACCCGGGTTTACGAAGTACACACCTTTATTCTGTTCATCTGGTCTGTGAGATAAGAAATGTGTCCCGGTGGAATGCCGGCAACCGGAGGGGTACCGGAGGTGTTCTCACGATGAGGTCACGGCGTCTTTTTGTCAGCGGGGCCCGGGTAGAATTTAACTCAGAATTAAATTCTTATCGGGGCCCCGACGGGCCAAAAAATAGCCCGGTAGCCGCAGGGTGCCCCGCGGGGCCATGTCGGGGTCCCGCCCGAAAGTGGCAAAAAACAGCCCGGGAACTACCCGCCAGGGCCCCTTTTCCCAATTGGGACCTTAGCTTTAACTTTATCCATCGGTACATTCCCCAGGTCCTCACAGCCCCAGGCTCGATGATTAAAACATAGCGCCACCTCCGGCTGTAAGCTGTGTTACAGGTTTATATGCGGCACTTTGAGCAGCACGGCTACAGCAGTCACCACGGTGGTAAAAGTGAAGAGCGCCACGCACAGTTTGTCCAACACTCTCGCCACCCGCTTCCAGTCGTTATCTCGACTCTCATTGGCTGCTGACATCTGCTGACACTTGATCACGTAAAGATGCAGCTCCCTCATGAGCATGCGCAGTGCGCGCAGCAGCGCCACGTATCTCTTGTCCGGCGCGTGCGCGTCTTCCACGTTCTTGTTCTTCCCGTTGTCTGTGACGCGAATCTCGTTCTCGTACTCCTCGCACAGAAACTCTAGCTCGGTGCAGTTGGAGAGGCTGACGTCCACGCCAGGTGGCGCTTTTGCCTGGTGTGGCCTGGTGCAGAAGACGCGGCCGAGGCCGTGCAGGAAGGCCCGGCGGACCCAGGGAGGCAGCGGGCGGCAGGACGGGTCGGTGTGGTGCAGGTTTAGGATCAGGATCGTCATGAAGGTGGCAAACATCACCAACATGATGGTCACTCCGTAGTAACACACTGTAGGAGACACACGCAACAGTCATAAAAAGTGATAGTCAGGGATTTCTAATTCATACACTGGAAGAACACACTTTGAAACCATGTATGCACACTGTTATGCTTATCATAATTCCATACATTATCAAGGTAACTTAAACTAAACCAACATAGCGTGACAAAATGAAACAACAAAATCGTATAATAAAACGTCAAACAAAATTAAAAAAATTAAGATCGAAATTAATCCTTGGCTGGCAGGTAGTTAAGTCCATTTACTTGTTTGATGCTATATAGTCTGATTTTGGAAGATGAGGTAACCTGTTCAAATGTAATGCCATAGAGGACAAAGAAAGCTCGTCTTCTAAAGATGAAAAGACTAGTCTGCTAAGCTCTTTCAAATAAGCGGCACGGATGATGATGTCGGCGGCATGAGCTCAGACACTATCAGTAGGAACACTGTGGAGACCAGCAGCACGATGATGAAGGTATACAGACTTACCAATAAGAGGCACGGCTGATGCCATCAGGGGTATGACCTCAGACACCATCAGCAGGAACACTGTGGAGGCCAGCAGCACGGTGATGAAGGAATACAGACTTACCAATAAGAGGTACGGCTGATAGCATCAGCGGCATGAGCTCAGACACCATCAGTAGGAACACTGTGAAGGTCATCAGTACGATGATGAAGGAATATAGACTTACCAATAAGAGGCACGGCTGATGCCATCAGCGGCATGAGCTCAGACACCATCAGCAAGAACACTGTGGAGGTCATCTCATTAGCACGGTGGTGAAGAATAAAGGAATACAGACTTACCAATAAGAGGCACGGCTGATGACGTCGGCGGCATGAGCTCAGACACCATTAGCAGGAACATGGTGAAGATCAGCAACACGGTCATGAAGAAATACATAGAAGGTCATGAAGAAATACATAGCAATAAGAAGCAGGGCTGATGAGGTCGGCGGCATGAGCTCAGACACCATCAGCAGGAACACGGTGATGGCTAGCATGCAGGACGGTGATGAACGAACAAAGAGTTACCAATAAGCGGCTGATGGCATCAGCGGCATGAGCTCAGACACCATCACCAGGTTTCATCAGCACGGTGATGAAAGAATACAGACTTACCAATAAGAGGCACGGCTGATGAAGTCGGTGGCATGAGCTCAGACACCATCAGCAGGAACACGGTAAAGGCCAGCAGCACGGTGATGAAGGAATACAGACTTACCAATAAGCGGCACGGCTGATGATGTGGGCGGCATGAGCTCAGACACCATCAGCAGGAACACGGTAAAGGCCAGCAGCACGGTGATGCCCAGACCGACCCTCTCCCCGGCCTCAGGCGGTAGGTAGAACCCCAGGATCGTCATGATAGAGAAGAGCAGACAGGGACTGACCAGAAAGATCAGGTAGTACATGGACCTGCGGGTGCATCATGTATTATTTGCATTTATCGGCAATAATACATACAATGCATATTTAAGATATCCGCCATCCTGGATCATCAATCTTGAATTTTCAAAAATAGTTTTTTCCATGATAAAGCCCAAAATACATTTTAAACATACTAAAGACCTTCATTTAAACCTTTTTTGGAAAAAGAAATGGAAGTATTGATGAAATTTTAATGAAAATAACCCGTATATACCTGTTCTAATGATATGGTCCGCCAGCTTGGATTTTGGCTAATGACTTCATCAAATTAGCATAAATTATGCATATTTAATGATAAAATTTACATAAAATCACATGGGATGATATTAATATTAGAAACCATGAGTAACTTGACATAAAACCCATAAAATTCTATTGTTGAAACAAAAAGTACTAAATTTAGCAAAAAATGCCTGTCAGAAACCCGTTGCCATGGCAACACAAAAATTATTATCTTATTCCAATGATAAAGAATTGTTGCCAACAATATTCTAGGAAAAGTCACATTGGATGGCACTCAGGGTAGGCTATCTTGCCCCCGAAGCAATCTGTCTAGGGATAAGAACTACCGTATCTAGGGTTAAACTCGCTAAGGTTAAAGTACAGTGTAGGAACATCGTCAATAGATAATTTGGAACAACGCTTACTGTTGAATATACAAAGGCAAGGTGTCTCATTTATGAGTCTTGTTACACTTTCGGGGCCAAATAGTAAACGATTCCGCACAATGCAATGCTGTTTTTAATGGTGATTACATCATCACCCGGACGGAGGCGTGGCGAACCCCGTCTTGTATTTAAAAAAATTAAGCTAACGAAAGGGTATGCCACCTCGTAAGGGGCGGTATAACCCCGACCAGTACGGTCGACCGATGATGATGCTGTTTTAATATCCTTGATGTCGAACCACCTCGCTATATTCATAGTATTGGAAAAACATGTCGTCAATTATCGAATGTTACATTTTTATATACTTGTATATGTATTATATTAGCCTACAGTGTTAGTTTTACTGAGTATGTGGAATGTAAAATTCAGCGCAATTCAGGGTTACTGCAAGGCCAATTTGTATCGTGTTTTTACCAATAAACCATTACTACTATGTGGGTCTTACATGACTGCGCCCTTAATGATCCTACCGGAAATTTATTGATATCAGTCATTCTGTGTTGAGCACATTTACTTTATATCACATAGGAAATACCAACGACCCCTGGAGAGACAATCCCTTAAATTCTATTTCGATTGCAAACCGCACTTAGCGGATCTCCGAAATAGGCACTTGTGCGCTGCTAGCCTATAGCTAAGACCGCACCATTCAAAGTCCTTGACTGCGACCCTTTGACCTTGCACTCGGCAAAAAATCATAAGATTTTGACCTTGTCAGTTACAAACAAACTTTCACTACTTTTTGTTATTATGATTCCAATATTTTAATGACTAGGCATGGTGACGGCACACTCAAGTTCTATCAACTCATTTTATGCCGCCACCAACGCAGAGGACAAGAAAAATACAAGAAAGGACAATACTCATTTTTACTTCAAACTGCAAACTGAATCAGACAATAGACATAAAGACGTTTATTGGGGTTAGTGTATTTAGATATTAATGTATCAATGTCAATAAGACTCTGTCAAACATTCAAACCCTTCTCCGAACATCAGCCAATTAAACTTCGGGAGCAGTCCTATCATCCTTAGGATTAATCAAATTGAATTTGAGTTAAATTTGGGTCAAGTTTGACTGCCAACCACTCCTACCCCAAAACATCAAACAACCATGGCCAAACCTTCCGTTTAAATTTTTTAACATTTCGAAACATTCGGCTGTCAACCTGAGCGAACACCAGCCGAACTGGCTACCGACGTACTCCAGGTCGGGATAAGTCCTGCAATGTTCGGGGGGCCATATTCAGTTATGTAATTATTATAAATATGCATTAATACAAAATAGATAAATTAGAAAAAGGTGTGTGCTGAAAAAAAAAAGCCCTCACCATACATGCAGCAACATGTTATCAATAGAAGTACTAAGCATAAAAGTTCATATGTTTCCGACGTCACGTCCCAAAAGCCGCAGTAGAAGGGTCCATTTAGTGAACAAGACTGACGGAGTCGGCCGAAAATTTGGGTAAGTCCCAATTTACTTAGTGTTGGCTAAAACGTTTAGCCCTTTTGGTCTTAATAGAGGTACTAGTATTGATTGAATTAATTTGCCTTGCAGCGTTAGAAGTAAAGAAGGAGAAACATAATACAAAGATTCGATGATAATATGGATGATTTAAGATTATATAACTTCTATATCTGCAACAAGACATTAAATAATACTATTGCTAACAAGTTTGAAGTTAAAACTTTTGATCCAACACCCAAGAATTCTCTCACCTAGAGCTTTCGACCAGTCACTCTGGTCTTCCTCAGTAGACTGACCCAGTGAAGCTAGGTGAGAGAATTTTTGGTGTTGGATCAAAGGTTTTAACTTTAAACATGTAACAGCCAACACAGATAAACTTTCATGATAGTATTGCTAACAAGGTTAGGAACAAAGTTTTGTTCAGACCTCCTCCTGATGTAGATAGTGAAGGTGACCAGCGGGTACGGCTCCGGACAGCAGACGTAGAAAATGTCCTCATGTTTGTCCCCGATCGCCAGCAGCTCCCACTCATCGTTATGCACGAAGTACGTCAGCGACGGCGGGACCGACTCCGTGGTCGTGTTGACGTCGTACCCGCCGTACGTCCAGGACCTAGAACCAACGCCATTCACCAATTTTACACTTCCCATAATGCCAATATTTGTACAGAATATATTCAAAACGTTTACCACCAGGAGTTAATTGGTGTGTGTTTGTTTTTATGTGTTTTTGTCCAATTCCAGATTGTTTCTTTAAACGTTCGTGGGTTTGAGGATGTGATGTGAGTAGGCAAAGTGTTGTATGTTTTAATGCACCGAGTCATTCACCAATTTCACACTTCCCATAATGCCTAGTAACGGTCACGGATATGCAGGGATATGACGTAAGACCACCACCCCCCCTTCCTCGATGTAATATTTCCAACAAATTCTATCGACAAACTGGTCAACTATTGTTTTGAATTATTCATCTAGTATAAAGCGCATGGCATAATTGCAATTTTGTTGGAATTAGGGAAAATGACGTACCTTCTATCGTTCCACCTTCTACCGAAGACTCTCCTACTCGGTAATGCATGCGACCGTGCGAGTAGGAGAGTCTTCGGTAGAAGGTAGAACGATAGAAGGTACGTCATTTTATTGTTCCATCCTCTAATTCCAACAAAAATGCAATTATGGCATGTGCTTTATACTAGATAAATAATTCAAAACAGTAGTTGACCAGTTTGTCGATAGAACTTGTTGGAAATATTACATCGAGGAAGGGGGGGGGGGGATGGTCTTACGTCATATCCCTGCATATCTGTGACCGTTACTAGGCATTATGGGAAGTGTGAAATTGGTGAATGGCTCGGACTTTTCTACACAGGTGCATTAAAACATACAACACTTTGCCTTCTCACATCACATCCTCAAACCCACGAACGTTTAAAGAAACAATCTGGAATTGGACAAAAACACATAAAAACAAACACACACCAATTAACTCCTGGTGATAAACGTTTTGAATATATTCTGTACAAATTCATGACCTCTGACCTCTCAGACATCCATTACATAATTGTTTTTATAGGCTAACTGTATAATGTAATATTATTAATTGATAACTACGTAATGTAATGCATGTATTATTAATTGATGTAATAATTGATACTTAATGTGTAATTTACTATGTTGAAAAGATAAGTTTTCCTGTAGGATAATGTCAATGATAGCAGTTGAACGTGTATGTAAATAATAGTTGTATTTTATGTAAAGGACTCCAGGAAGAATAGTGATGTATATATTATCACTAATGGGAGATTCCTAAATAAACAAACAAACAAATAAACAAACCCGAACTCCAGCAGACACTTCTGGTCGTCGAACGGGAAGTAGTAGATGTCGATGTTGCAGGAGGAACGGAAGACGCGAGGTGCCATCCACGTGACGTAACCGGCCGAGTTGATGACGACATTCGTCATGAGCTGGTTATGGTCGTTCCCTACTCTGTTGGAGACAGAAATATTTAATTACTCACGCAACAAGATTTTTATTATCATTAAAGTTCATCTGTGTTGGTAGTTTAAAGTTAAACCTTTTGGTCCAACACAAAAAATTCTCTCACCTAGAGCTTTCGACCAGTCTACTGAGGAAGACCAGAGTGACTAGTCG